GTAGATAGATAGATAGATAGATAGATAGATAGATAGATAGATAGATAGATAGATAGATAGATAGATAGATAGATAGATAGATAGATAGATAGATAGATAGATAGATACTGTAGATAGATAGATACTGTAGAGAGATAGATACTGTAGATAGATGATAGATAGATAGATAGATAGATAGATAGATAGATAGATAGATAGATAGATAGATAGATAGATAGATAGATAGATAGATAGATAGATAGATAGATAGATAGATAGATAGATAGATACATTTTGCAACATGTTGATTTTTTTTGTTTTTACGTACTTTAATTCAGATGAATTACACCGTTTATGTATTTATTTATGTGTTTGTTATTTAGTTGCAAGACTGTTTATAATGAAATAGTGACAGGTTTAAATAAAGACAAAAACAAGAAACTAACTAACCAAATGAACATGGAGACCAGTTACACAACCTAAGATTAACACTTTCCTTTATCCAGTCATATAAAAATTGTACCCTAAAATGTGTCAACTATCAATTTGTACTTTTGCACTTTATTCCTGTGAGTTTTTTCCCCCCATTTCAGTCTGTTTTCAAGCTTTAAAGTTTCATTCCTCATCCCGACCTGTCATAACAGCCACGCGAGACGACATTATCTCGCTAACCTTGTAGCTCAAACCCGCATGTCTGCTCCTTCCTGAGTGACAGCAAATATGTGTGTAAGGCGTTGTGGCTCCTGAAGACTATTTCCCTGACAGTGATGCAGCACGCGGCGTCGGGCAGGGCTTCACCCGGGGCCTTTAGAAGATGACCTCTGACAAACACATACATCAAGGTCCAACCTCTCGTCCTACAGCGCCCAAAGTTACGGCACAGACATTCTGTCATTCAGAGCGTCAGTAATGGGCCATTCAATGTGTCATCTGTTATTGTTGCATTTTTCATGTTTTCACAAACACAAATAACATGTCATGCAAGTGACTGACAAGTGGCGAAACAATTCTCAGGTGCATGTGGCGAGAAAACTAAAGTTTATGAGATATATGACAACGTGTCAGGCCTACAATAGCTGAAGGGTGCCATCATCCCCGAGGTAAACTTTCTCAAACTTTTCCTTTTTCCTTTCCACCGGAGAAGATGTAGAGCTAAACTCTCTGAAGTGCTTCTGTTTGAGAAGTTTTAGAGTTTCTCCGCACAGGAGATGGGGAACATTCACTCGCATGCTTTTAGAATAAAGTGGCAATGCATACATTTGTGCAAACCAACTAGGAAAGAATGAGAAGTGAAAAACAGAGAGACAAGGTGAAAGACAATACTGAGATCTGATTTTGTTTTTATAGTGCTGGGCAACGATTAATCGTGATTAATCGCATCCAAAATACAAATTTGTGTTTATATAATACATGTGTGTGTACTGTGTATAATTATTTTGTATATATAAATACACAAACATGCATGCATATATTTTAAAAATTTGTTATTTATATATTAAAGTATTTATATTTATATATAATATAAATTATGTATAAATATATATATATATATATACAGTATATATGCAAATATTTCTTAAATAAATATATACATGCGTATGTGTGTATTTATATATACAAAATAAATATACACAGTACATACACATAAATTATGTAAACACACATTTATTTTGGATGTGATTAATCGCAATTAATCGTTACCCTGCACTAATATATATATATATATATATATATATATATATATATATATATATATATATATATATATATACACTCACCTAAAGGAGTATTAGGAACACCATACTAATACTGTGTTTGACCCCTTTTCGCCTTCAGAACTGCCTTAATTCTACGTGGCATTGATTCAACGAGGTGCTGAAAGCATTCTTTAGAAATGTTGGCCCATATTGATAGGATAGCATCTTGCAGTTGATGGAGATTTGTGGGATGCACATCCAGGGCACGAAGCTCCCGTTCCACCACATCCCAAAGATGCTCTATTGGGTTGAGATCTGGTGACTGTGGGGGGCATTTTAGTACAGTGAACTCATTGTCATGTTCAAGAAACCAATTTGAAATGATTCGAGCTTTGTGACATGGTGGAAGTAGCCATCAGAGGATGGGTACATGGTGGCCATAAAGGGATGGACATGGTCAGAAACAATGCTCAGGTAGGCCGTGGCATTTAAACAATGCCCAATTGGCACTAAGGGGCCTAAAGTGTGCCAAGAAAACATCCCCCACACCATTACACCACCACCACCAGCCTGCACAGTGGTAACAAGGCATGATGGATCCGTGTTCTCATTCTGTTTACGCCAAATTCTGACTCTACCATCTGAATGTCTCAACAGAAATCGAGACTCAACAGACCAGGCAACATTTTTCCAGTCTTTAACTGTCCAATTTTGGTGAGCTCTTGCAAATTGTAGCCTCTTTTTCCTATTTGTAGTGGAGATGAGTGGTGCCCGGTGGGGTCTTCTGCTGTTGTAGCCCATCCGCCTCAAGGTTGTGCGTGTTGTGGCTTCACAAATGCTTTGCTGCATACCTCGGTTGTAACGAGTGGTTATTTCAGTCAAAGTTGCTCTTCTATCAGCTTGAATCAGTCGGCCCATTCTCCTCTGACCTCTAGCATCAACAAGGCATTTTCGCCCACAGGACTGCCGCATACTGGATGTTTTTCCCTTTTCACACCATTCTTTGTAAACCCTAGAAATGGTTGTGCGTGAAAATCCCAGTAACTGAGCAGATAGTGAAATACTCAGACCGGCCCGTCTGGCACCAACAACCATGCCACGCTCAAAATTGCTTAAATCACCTTTCTTTCCCATTCTGACATTCAGTTTGGAGTTCAGGAGATTGTCTTGACCAGGACCACACCCCTAAATGCATTGAAGCAACTGACATGTGATTGGTTGATTAGATAATTGCATTAATTTGAAATTGAACAGGTGTTCCTAATAATCCTTTAGGTGAGTGTATATATATAACATGATATATAGTATTATTGATAAAAATAAAATATATTATTATTCTATCGACCACTATACACCCCCCCCCCCCCCCCCCCCCGGCCATCAGCCGCTTTTGCCACTGTAACTCTGATGAGGAGAACAAACGTCATTGACTGACTCATAATCACACTGCAGTGAGAAACCCACGCAGAAGACAAGCTCAGAACAAGAAGATGAGAGAGAACAAGAAGTGGAAGAAGAGCAGAGGATGAAGAGGAGAAAGATCAGGGTTTGCGTCGGGTACTAAAGAGCTTATTGTTCAAGACTGAGTAGTCGATTGTGAAATGACAAGCATGACGGTGAAAGGATTGGTCTGTCGATTCCAATTGTCTGGCAGGACTAGAAATGGAGTGGAGTTTGAGAAAAATCAGGACTGACTTGAAAGAGTCATGCTGGATGAGACAGAGGCTTGAAAATGACATTAACCCCCATTTACGAAACCACAGGAGCATGCTGGGACTGGCTGGGCTGAGCCTGTGTGTGTCCAGGTGTTGATTCATCTGTGTATTTAAAGCGTACATGTCCGGTGGAAACAGGTGGGAATGGAAACAGAAGGTCAAGACCTATATAAACAGTATGTGTGTGTGTGAATACTATACATTTGTGTGTGAATACTGTACATCGCATCTTGCAGAGCAAAAATATGACTATCACCATAAAGACTGTCCCACATTCCAGCTATTTTGACCAAGAACCATCCACATAAGGGGCTTTCACACCAGAGGAACGCTTTCATAGTTCCTATATCTAAAGGCGGAAATACTCACTTTTGTGTGTGTTCGCACCAAATGAACCATGACCGATTTTAGCTATACGCCTAAATTAGACTTCATAGTAGTGTCTAACCATGGACTGTGTGAAAAAATATGGTTGTTGTGTCCGTGCCGTCACCCGTAGTGTTTCTGAAGAGCATTTTTGAAGCCCAAAGTGGGCGGAGCCGGCCGTCGCCATCTTGGCAGCGCATCACTCCCGGATAAACTCCCGCAGTGAGGCGGGATTAGCTGAGGTGACGTGACGCTAACACACAGCAGACAAACAGCTAGTAGTGACAGCAGCGCCAACCCACCTGTCACTCAAGTGGCCACGCCCTTAATTATGCACAACTTTAAGGCTTAATATAATTTAAACGGATGAGTTATAAATAAATCCACCTCTCTCACAGTTGTCATGAAGGGCAAAATTAGCTATATAGACCAAAACCACTTTATGTACCAGGCTGTGAACATAATTTTCTGCTGTAAAATTGGGTATATTAACATGGGGGTCTATGGGATTGACTCTCTTTTGCAGCCTGTCTCTAGAGGCCAGTCGATGAATTGCAGTTTAAGTCACTTCCGTGTTGGATTCACGAGAGAGATGGGAAGGTTGCTGCTTGTGTCTAACCCAGCACATTAGAAACTACCAATGACGTAAGTTTAAGTTGATTGTCTGAATGCATGCCATGCAAAACACTGGCACAGGCCATTTATAAAAAAGCAATGCAAACACACAGTTTACATGTACTTACTCCACGGACATGGAAAACAGTGATAGATGGACCGAAGTCCAGGCACTTCTCAACCAATCACGGTGCGCCTAAATGACGTCGCCTATGCTGGATCATGTCACTTCAGAGTTCCTACAGGTGGTGCAAATGCAACCAGGAAAATTACTCTAGGGGAAAATGAGTTCTTCGTGGCTAGTTCCTATAACTGAGTTCCTATAACTACACAGTGTGAAAGCCCCTTCAGACAGCAAAAGATCTTCGAATGACACGCAAATTGACCCATTTCCTTTTAATGACATTCCGGATATACTATATGTGGAAAGCAGAAATTACAGGTAAGCAAGGACATCTGGACTGATGAAAACAATTACGTCTTGAATCCAGAATCATTCCTAAAGTCAGCCGATCAGATCGGAGTTCTTCGGTTCGAGAAAGCTCTGGCCATTTTTGTATGTAATGATACACCAGACTTGAACCGTCTGTGGCTAAGACTAAAATGATGAGTGTTTTTATCAGCTTACCCATCAATCTCCCCATCATGGTGTGTCGTGGGGTGTGCTGGTCTCCCAGGCTCTCTCCGGGATACAGCGACTGGGAGATCCGCCGCTCATGTTCATCTCGTGGAGAGTTCAGAGACACAGTCGGGCTACTCGGAGACTCCTGGAGAGAAAGAGGGGAAGACATATATATATAAAAAATATACTGGCTTTTTAATCTTTCAGATGCTTTATTTGTCTTGTCCCTTTAGCAAATAGTTGTTCTTGCTTTAGGCACAATTGTCAGAAAATCTAGTCAGATGCAAGCCTAAAATATAAACAAAACGTAAAATTAAATTGGATAAAACCCTTTTTCTTGCTTTATGCGCAATTGTCACAAAATTGTCAAATGCAAACCTAGAATCTAAACAAAAAAAAAGTGTAATATAAAACAGTTTTTCTTGCTTTGAGCACAATTGTCACAAAATAGTCAAATTCATGCCTTAAGCCTCAGAGACCTGAGGGTATTTTTACAATAAATTTTCCGTCTGGTGTTATTCACTAAAAAAGCTTGTAAAACATCAACCCTTTTGTGCACAGACAATTGACACACCTCTTTTTTTCCAGGGCAAATTGAACTTTCAGCATATTTGTGTTGCATTGATGTCACCTGAATGTGAATCTGAATGTGAATCTCTCGCGCGTGTACGTCACTCATTGTTTACACAGAACAGAGATTGTAGGTAAGACGGCTAATTAAAATGGTACTAATTTGCGCTTATCCGGGATGTTTAAACCGTCGTAAAAGATTTTTTTTTTTTTTTTTATAATAAATAAAACAATTGTATGAGTGACGTACACGCGCGAGAGATCACTTCCGGCACTTTCCGGCGCTTGCCGGAAAAGTCCGAAGCGCCAGCGCCCTCAGATCACTTGGACGTGGCTGTGTTTACAAGAGGTAAAAACGATATAAATACTGTTAGTTTTCTCACACAAACCGCTCGTTTCGTGTCTTAGGCCATCAATGTGTACTTACATTTACGAGTCATTAAATCATGTTTAATCTGGACTTCTCTGTGCATGCTCTTTGAGGTGGTGACCATAGACCTGCATTATATGACTGACAGACAAGAACGGTTTGACCTAAAAATATCAAAATTGAAACTACTGCGGAAACAAAGACACCTACATCTTGGATGCCCTTGAGGTAAGCTAAAACATACCAACAATTAATTTCAAAATGAACTATCCCTTTAAATGTAAAGAAAACAAAACAAAATTCAAAACAAAACAAAAAAAAAGTAAAATAAAAGTTGATAAAATATTTTTTTTCTTGATTTAAGTGCAATTCCAAAATTTTGTCAGATGCTCATCTAAAACAATGCAAACAAACTAAACAAATCTCAAAACAAAACAAAACTTAAACCAATAAAAAATGTCCTTGTCTAAAACAAGGCAAAGAAACAAAACCCAAAAAACAAATCTCAAAACAAAACGCGAAACATTAAAACAAAACGGAAAACAAGTCAAATGCATGATGCAAATGCAAATGCATGGCTTTTGTGAGCAAAGCAAAACTCAAAAAGCCAAATAAAGTTATTATCTGAAGCGTGGCATCTGTGGTCCAGCACATCTCAGGTTCTCCTCCGCCATCTCTCGCACTAATAGAGCTGTTCCTGCGCTCCTTTGATTAGGCCGTCGTGACTGAGGTCTGATCTCTGGTCCTTTGTGAGCTATCATGTTCTTTTAGTGTTATACACTTTCCCCATGGGCCCGCATTGATCGTGAGAAGGTTGCACTTCCTCCCATAGGAACTTCTCCTGAACGAGGCTGTGTTGTTGAGAATGAGGGTCGGCAGGAGCTTCTTACCCATAATGCTCGCCACCTGCGCTCCAGTCTACTAGGAAGACCCAGATCCACATGTCAGTGCTTTTAGACACAGCTCTCTGGATCTGGAGACAAACCTCAGGGGAACTATGGGGAGGCTTTTTATGAATGCATCATTGCAAATGCATTCCCTGCGTCCTGCATCTCTTTCTGTGGGCCCGTACTTATTTATTTATTTCTAAATGCAAAGGGATCTGACAGTCGTTAGCACTATGACAGCAGTGGATTTCCACTCGCAATCCACCAAGATAAATAGTGTTTTGCATTGGTGATCCTTGATCCGTAAACAAAACAAAACAGAAAGTTAACATTTTTACAAATTCTGAAGAAACTATATGCGTTGCTTAACTTGGGAAAATGTTATGCTAGTTAGCTATGCTATGCTAATGTCATTACAACAGGGATCCAGGGATGACGCTGGAAATGAGTTTGCATTTCAGCACTTCAAGTTCCATCGTCCTGATGTCGATGGGTTTCTTGAATAGGGTTTTGGATTAATGACTGAAATAAGGTCTATGGTGAACACAAGCTCAAGATATTTTCAACATAAAATACATCAATAATACCCCATTATGCTTTTTTCCCCCAAAGCTTTTACTTGTCTTGAAGGCAGTTGTTAAATGAGACTACAGAGGTTGTTTGAGACATCATTACACTGAACAGGTAAACTAATACTCACAGCCTCATCGTGTTCTTCATCAAGCTCCTAAAACTATTCAAACAACATTTCAGGAGCAAGTTTTTATATAATGACACTCAAGTCATGTGACCGTGGTGTAGTTGGTATATAGCCCACGTTTGGCATTTTACTTCTGGTCAATGTATTTAGACTTCAAAATGAAAAAATTAAAAGTTATGTTCATTTAGAAAGACTAATCAAGGGGATGGAAAGGCGTAGCGTCAAACATTAGTCCCAAACTGACGAGTGATAACTTCTTGATCCAAAAGGAACTCAAAATCGGAAAAAAAGATCCGCACACGAATATAAGTCAAAAAGCTCACAGGATTTTATTGTCCAGAAGCCACAGATAAAGTGTAAAGTGTAAAGTGGTTTTCGGGTTCAACCCTTCATCAGTGCCATGTGTTACCAAGCATACACCTGCGGTAATTTACACACTTATTACCGTAATCCATGTAACATACCGGAATCTGATTTTATCCCATATACAAATATATACATCAGTAGTCTACATAATTATACATACATATCACAACAATCCTCTATTCAAAACTTTGAAAACATTTTTTTAAATTTACAAAAACTACCATGATGAACAAAACATGTAAGAATCAGAAACTGTTGTTGGTCACAGAGCTTATTTTCTGCAATGATCCAAAAACCATTGTTGATGCTAACTTCCAGGTCGGCCTGCGGACACACATCATCACTGCAGCGCTGGATGCTTTAGTGTGTGGCGAGGCGGATTTTGTGGGAAGGGGTTTTTTTTGTCCACGTCAAAAGAGCCACACAAAGTCCCCTATGATACTCTGGATTCTAGTTAGCATCATGTCCCTCTTTCACTGTAGCCTGGTAATACCAGACTGGAATGGCATAATAGAGAAGTGTTTTCTGTCTCGCTAGGGGGCGCTTGTCTGAAGTTTAAAATCATTGGTTACCCGTAAGCCAATCAGATAAGTTTATATATGACGTATGTTATGTGCCAACACAGCCGCATCGAACCACAGACATCATGCATCGAACTCAAATCTATGATCGAACTTCCACTGTAAACCTGCTGTAAACACTTGATGATGCGAGCGAAATACCGGAGTGAACATGGCTGTAAACCACTTTAGCAGATTATGCGAAGTTAATCTACGCATCCACGGTACAATCAGGGCCTCTAAACTGATATTTGACAGTAGAGAGAAACAAAAAAAATTTGCAGCCAACTGTCAAAGTTAGGATTAGTTCTGTTAAACACAGCTCTTTGTTCTGTCGGAAATGCTGCAACTTAATTGCAAGATTACAGCATGTCATGGCAATATTTAAGACCCGGAAAAGAAAGAAGACACTGACCTGTCAAAAGGCTCCCCAGTTTCTCGCTGACGATCGGTAATGGTTGATAAATTAAACTTTTCCCAAAGGGAGTAGGGCCACAACATCAACTCCATTCAAAATGTTTAATACACACTCTTCTTGTTCGGGCTTCAGTTTGCTAATGCCGGGAATATTCTCCACAACAGAGCGAATTGCATCCGCGTCTCCATATCCGCAGTCGTTTTCGATTTCCCTGACCTAATCTTAAACTCGGCGCTTAGCGACTACGTCACGGCTCTCAGCCCGCCCTCTGTTCGTTGATTGGCCGGCTGTTTTCAGGCCGGAGGAAAACGGATAGATAGGCCGCTGTCTCAGACTGAGTACAGAAGCGAAATGAAATTGAGCGGAAGTACGAAGTCTGACGTAGTCAGGCTACTTTCACTGCAGGTCTATTAGATTTTTCACTTGGTTTATAGTCCACCAGGTAAACATTTAAAACCTGAGTGCTTAGTATGCCTGGGAAGACCTCGATTAGCTGGTTCAGGTGTGTTTACTTGGGGGGTTGCTGGTAAACCAAGGCCTTGGAGTCAGAGGAATGCCATGCTCTGATTGGCTGAAGCTGGGGAAGGAGAGATTGGTAAGCGGTGTTTACTGAGATGTGTCTATGTGAGTTCACTGTTCACGGTGGAGAGCTTTGGGGGAACGAGACTGATGTCTTCTGGTCAATAGCAACCAAAACAGTTTTGAGCATCTAGATACATCAAAGACAAGCAAGACTGGACTGCAGGATGACCATCACATACAAGTTTAATATAGATGAGACGTTTAATGAAGTCTGAAGCTGCTGACGTGATGAATTAGCACGTTTACTGACGCAGAGAAGAGGTCAACACCATTACAACTTCATCTGACGCAAGTGCCACAATCAACCGCTCAGCCGGAGCTTTTCTTCACAAAACCAGGATTTTTTTTATGAACCTTTGTTGAAATCCGACGGTTTTGACAGAATGAGAAGGGAGATAAAAACAGAAAGGGTTTTTATAAAGGAACGTGTTTCTTAAAGTCCTGGATGAACTGACGGGCTTGTGGGAGACACAGATCTTCTGCGGCCCGGAGTTTGGGAGAGGAGTTATTATGAACCCGTTTATCTACTCGTAATCTCCCCTAATCTAGTGCTTCTCTAACAGGATTAGCCATGTGGATTAAAACACTCCCTTTACAGTCTGTCTTCCTCAGAGGCTGCCATTGCCTGTCCATCCATCCACCCATCCATCCATCCATTTAAGCCATCCATCCAATTATCTATCTATCTATCT